CACACAGTTTTATTTATTCATTTATATTTTATCTCTGGCTGTTTTCTCACTTGGACAAAGTTGAAGAATTGCAGAAAAAGAGTCACATGGCCTTGCTAAGTCAAATATGTGGTCTGGACCTTTACAAATAAATGTTTGTTGACCCTGTAGCAGGTCAATGTAAGAGAGCAAAAAGATGGGTCACTAGATGATTAGACCTGCGTCTGTCACCTGTGAACAGAATAGGGACAGTACCTGAATTCTTACATGGGGCAGACTTACACTGTTGAGAACAGTTTGGTTGGGGGAGAGAGGCCCAGGAAACTTGTCTCACAACCACTGAAAAAATACCTTGCAAAACAAAAACAAAAACGAAAGAAAATCCTTTAGAACCCTTCCATTTCTCTTTCCATCTGTTGGGAGCACATTTGCAGCAAATGCTCGCTTTGTGTTGGGTCTTGTTCTAGATGGTGGCACTGCAGAAGCAATGAGATCAGAGACCCTGTGTGTTGTGGTATTTCATTTGTGTTTTAATAAATAAAGCTTGCCTGAGGATCAGAAAAGTGAAACATCCACACTGGCCAGCCTTACAGACCAGGCAGCAGTAACACTCACCTTTAATCCCAGTAGCCACACTACTTGCCATAGAAACCAGGCTGTGGGGGCTGGAGAGATGGCTCAGCGGTTAAGAGCACTGGTTGCTCTACCGGAGGACCTGGGTTCAATTCCTAGCACCCACATAGCAGCTCAGAACTGTCTATAAATCCAGTTCCAGGGGATCTGACACCTTCACATGAATGCACATAAAATAAAGTTAAATAAATCATAAATATATCTTTAAAAAAAAAAGAAAGAAACTGGTCTCTGGTGGTGCACGCCTTTAATCCCAGAACTACAGAGGATTATAAAATGGGAGGAGACTGCTCTCAGACCTGCGTCTTCATGAAGCTTAAGTTTTAAAATAGGAAGAGAGACAAGAAGGAAAGATCTACCATCTCTGGTGGTGTCAGATACTTCCAGTACTACAAGGGGAAATAATTTGAGGGAAGCACTCGAGAGGCGTGGGAGAGGTGCCATTCCACAGGGGCAGGCTAGGGAAAGTGTTGCTCAGAAGACAGATTTAAGAAGAGGGAGTTGGATATCGGAGAGAAGGCGCCAGCTATGGAGCAGAAAGTGCAAAGTGCAAAGGCCGTGTGGTGTCTGAGGGTCAAATGGATGAAAGAGATGAGGAGAAAGCTCCCTGTGTTGAGAATGCTAACTAGGGGCCGGGTTCCCAGCTGTGCAGTCATGGAGATTTGTGTGGAGGAGAAACTGTTGGGATCCGCCTGGAAACAGAGAAGCTCGTTGGATGTCTCTATGAGCTAGGTAGGCTACAGAGAGAACTGGAGGAGAAGAGATTGGCAGCCATCATGGCCATCAATCCCTACCTCATTAGAGCTTCCCCCGCCTCAGCAGGTTCAATGGTTAAAGACAGTGACAACTTCCTGCAAGCTTGGATAAGGTCTAACGTGTGTCAGACAGCTCTCCTGGGCCTGTGGGGTTCTTCAAGGCTAGAGCTTCAAGTGGCTCTTACATACATGCTCTGCTCACATCTACTGGCTTGAAGTGACCACAGACCCTCTGTGGACACATGAAGTCACATGGGGGTGCCCTCGCCAAAGGAGTTCTGGGACAGGGCAGTCACAGTCTGGGAATCCCTGAAAGCAGGTTGAATGGGTTCAGTTAGAGTAATGGCATTGAGGGAGAACTTAGAACAAAGGTTCCTCCAGGAAGCTAGACATCCTCGCCTCCACTGGCCGCTATCACATGGGATTAGCTGAGACCTCTGGCAGAATGGTCAGGAAGACAGAATGTGTGACTGTGAACCCTGGCTAGAGCAACCAGAGCCCAAGTGGTGTGTGTGTGTGTGTGTGTGTGTGTGAGAGAGAGAGAGAGAGAGAGAGAGAGAGAGAGAGAGAGAGAGAGATTATATCAGAAAGATTATATCAGAAATAAAAGAACTTCTTAAGGTCAGGCCTGGGTGAGAGTCAGGTCCAGGGTCCGTTACTGTGTGGATTGGTCAGGCAGCAACACACTGCCTCCCTCTTGGTAAGTAGCTGAAGCATGGATTCCTTCTGGGCCTTGTCACCTGGACCTTCAAGTGAAGCCAGTGACCTGACCTCAGGAGGCAGTGCCACTGTGTTTGAGGCACTGTCCACAGCTGCAACTTTTATCTTTCAGCTCCTCTTGGTGGCCATCCTCTCCGGACATCTCTGCCTTCGTGTGAGTTGTTCCTCCCTGAACTGCCTTTTCCCTCACAAGGTCCCTGTGCCTTAACCTCCTGCCATGCTCCCATCTGCACAAGACACCCTCCCATGGAGAGTGTACTCTGTTCCCAGCCCCTCTGGTGGCCTCATTTTCCCAGTCCTATCCCTCCCATGGGGCAAGAGATGAAGCAGGGACCACTGGACACTGAGCAGGGTCTTTCCAATATCTTTCCATCTCTCAGCTAGCTCAGGTGAGGTTTCACCATGCTCCCACTGAAACCACTCCATGGAAGAGCTGGGATTCCCTCTGCAAGACTGCTGGCTCCAGCTCCAGGGAGGTCTGATTGGGAAGAGCCTCCTGAATGGCCCTCAGTCCGGCTCCCCTCTTGGGATGCACAGCCTGACCTCTGGAGGCCTTCTTAGATGGTCCAGTCTCTGCTCCACTTCCTTCTCTATACCTCCTTAACCACACCCCAACAATGACTCTAGCCTCCTCAGAACTCCCTAAGTAGACTCGATCCTTCCACAGTCCTAAGCTCATGGATCCAGTAAGCCAGCTCTTTGGCCAAGAAATACTTTGGGTGTCTGTTGCTGCCAGTGTCAGGGAACCTCCAAGATCTGGCTGTGAGTCTTGTTTATCCTTCTACCCTGGCATCTGACCACACAATGATGCCAAGGTAAATGCCCCACAGAGCGTCATGAGGTATTTTCAAAACTACAGATCGTCAGGACTTTAGACAGAACAGAAAAATGGGTGATATAAACCAAGAGGCTTCCTGAGAGAAATTTTGGGGTGTTCTCTGTCTAATAACAAAGTCAGAGTTCATATCATGTTTTTACATGGGCCACTCCTTCCAGCGGGCACCTCGAGGGAGGGAAGAGCAAGGACACGGTATATGTGAGTCCCGGGCTGTAGAATCCTCAGTTTGTCCCCCAGAGAATGACCACTCTCCTGTTATGGACACTCTCACTGTCTGTGTGCTCCTCCTGTCCCTCAGCTGGTCATGCCAAGTGTCCCTATGCTTTAAGAACCTGGCACTGGTGGCTAATGGCAGGGCTTCTAAAGGTCATGGGCTGGATTCAGACAGACCTGCCTTCTCCTAGCTGACCTTGGGTGAGCTGCTGTCTTATTGCCATGGGATGATGGTAACATCAAGGAATCAGTCCCTCCACCACCAAATTCCCATGTTCAAGTCTTAACTCCTTGGGTCTCCCCTCATGAACCTGCTGTGGCTCCCTAGTGCCCAGAGACCAAGGTCACGCTTCTGGACTGCAGATCTGAGTTCTATTTCTTTTCCTCTCTATCTTTGTCTCTTTTAGAATGTTCTCAGTCTTTGGGGCTTCTTCCGTCTCACCGTTTGTTTTCTCAGTACCAGGGATTGACTCTAGGGCCTCACCTGTGTTAGGCACGTGCTCTACCACTGAGCCTCAACCCTAGCCTCCTCAACTGTCCACCCCTCTTCCCATCTCATCTCCTCATTCCCCTTGGCACCTGGCAAGTCACTATTATCAGCATGCCACCGTCTCCTGACAGCCAGGCCCTGTGTGCTTTGTTTGCCCATCTCCGTCTCTGGCACCACTGGACATGCTTCCGGCCGTGCTGGACTCAGCTCAAGGGCTACCTCCTCCAGGCTGTCCTCCTGCCATCCAGCATGTGACAGGTACTCGGTAGCTATTTGTGGAGCGAATGTGGTGCACGGGTCAATGATGTCATCTTTCCCAGGTTCAAGTCTCTCTTGGATCTCTGTTCCACCAAGGCCCCACCCTCTTGTGTGATTACCCTGGTGAACTTTACAGACAAAGCAATAGTCCAGATTCCAAGTCGTTTTTTTCCCCCCAGAGATGAATCCAGCTAAGTTAGATTCTGATCTTGAAATGACAAAATCAAATATGCAGACAGCTGCAAGACACCTGGAGGAGCCACCTTACATCATTTTCCCCAGTGGCCTTTAGCATCAGAACCCATTCTTGCAGTAACTTAGCTAGCACCCCAAATGTCAGCATTAACACAATGTTTACAACCCAGATCTGCCCTGGCACAGATGGAGCCTGCAATCTATGACACCTGTACCATCTTGGAGACTCACCAGCCTTGGTTCCTCCGCATTTGACCCAGGAGAATACTGGCACTCAAAGTTTTCTATCTGTGTCAGGCTGCCCCCAACGCGCCCAGTGCTCCAACCACCCGAAGCTCAGAGCCTTTGCCCAGGTTTCTCTGAATCTATAGCCTCTCAGCCCCACCCTCCACCTGTAAGCCTGGGCTCAGCATCAGCCTCTGCCCCTCCCCTTGCCACTTCTCTCTTGCCAGGAACCAGCAGCAGAAAGCCTGGCCTCTGGAAGACCTTCTGCTACCACCGGCAGAGCTCCCGGAATTGATCTCAGACTCAGACTCAGGAGCCAGGGATGAGTCATAACAGGTGGCTTTGAATGTGGTTAAAAATTAAATTTAAAAAGGCAAGTCAAAACGTTCAGCTCCAGGCTCCTTAACTCTCTGCACTGATATTAGAGCCCACAAGCCCTTTGGACCTGCACAGCTCCCACTGTGCCCAAGTGCCCTAAGATATCTCAGTGCAGCGACGAGGAACTGACTCCGCACCCCACCCCCCCAACACACCCTCTTCTACTGTCACCCTGTTTTTACTGGTCATGCTTCCCATCAACTAAGCACTCAACCCGTGTTTCCTGCATTACAAATGGCCTAACGCTGGGCTTGTGACCTGAAGGTCTCTATGTGGGCGCAGCGCCCTCTGGCGGGCAGATCGTACGGGCACTCACCGGCGTGGGCGCGTTCACCACGGAGAGGTTGTACCCGTAGAGGAAGGATGATCCGAAGGCTCCCACGAGAGCGGCCACGACGAGCGACCAGGACCAGTCCTGAAAATGGAAAAGAAAGAGTCATCTTGTGGTGCCCCCTTAATGGGAAGGCACTTCAGAGGGAATTCAGGCAGGAAAAGACGCAGGTTGGGAAAGAGGGTGCTGCATGCAGAGTTTCCGCCCTGAGGTCCCTCCACGTGGTTGCCTTTCTGCAGGGTTGCCTGACGGTCTCCGCCCCACCACCACTGGATGTGGCCACTAGATGTGATTTGACCCAGGAGGAGAAAAAGACAAAGCTAAGTTCCCTGCAGAGGTTGGCAGTCCTTGAGCACTACTGCTAGACCCCGTTCTAAGCGCTTTCGTGTTATCATTCTTCCTCTGTGTTATCATTCTTCCCCTGAATGCCTAGACTAGTCAGTGGGGTTTCTATCAGTGTCACGGTGTGTGTGTGTGTGTCGCTCAGAGCTGTCCCTGGTGCTGCCTGGAGTCCGAGTTGGTTCCCATTGCGGGAGAAGTCTCTTCACCAGCACAGCTGACTCTTCACCTGGGCCTGAGATGGGTGATGGCCACACAGATACACAACCATGCACAGTTCTAGACCAAAGCATTAGCTTGCAGAGTGTAGGAGCCAGCCATGATAAGCTAACTATGAACAGACCACCCAAAGGAAGTTCTTTTCTTCCAACCGTTATCAGCTGCCGGAGTAGGACTCGGTCATCGATAAGTTTAATAGAGGCCCGAGTCTCAGTAGTTTACCCTGAAGCAATACGTGGTTGCAGAAAGGGCCATAAACTAAGATTATTTGAACACCACCCAAGGACAAACCATGCCTAATGTTCCAACCGCTGTAGATAGGATCACCTGCCAGCACACACTCACCAGGACACCCCCATACAATCAGGGGCCCTGAACCTCAGAAACCCCTCACTCCCACCTTTACTACTATAAAAAACCCAACTCTAACTGAGCTTAGGGGCTCTCTGCTTATTCCAATGCGTTGGACACGCAGAGAGACCAAGTTTTCAAACTTGCATAAAATAAAGCCTCTTTACTTTTACATATGGGACTCGGTCTCCTTGTTGACTTTTGGGTGACTTCGTGGATTTGGGCATAACACAGAGCACTCAGACCTGCAGGTAAAGATGCAGGGCTTATGCTGAGAATGTCCCAGCCTCATCCAAGAGGACCACAACCAGGAACTGGCCATTGCACACAAACACCTGGGAACTGGAGCACAGACACAGGCCCGCTGCCTGGTGGAGGAGACCAGGGCATGCATTTCGTAGGTATGAGGTTCTGCCCCCCCCCACACCCACGTGCACCAAGGGTGTACCAAGACAATATCCAGTTTAGAAACCTAGATTGAGCACACATATAGTTTGGAAGGTGACACTGGCCCCTAACAGCAATTCCATGCTCTGTCCTTAGTCTCTCTTTGCTAGGCTCCAGTAATACACAGTAGTGGGCATTTGAGCAGAGCAGTAGCTTTCTGGAATTCAACTTGTCCATCTATAAAATGGGCTTTTAATAACAGTACTGCTGCCGAGAAACCAGTGTGCTGCTAGACACAGCCAGTTTCAAAGAAAAACAAAATCTCTTTTACTTTCCTCTGGTCCAGCCTCTGCCAAGACAGGCAAGCTTCGACTTTCCACCCTGTCCACTGGAGCCCCACTGCCAAAGCCCCTTGCTCTGGGAAGCCTTCTGAAAGCCAGCTATGTGCCCTGCCTTGTCTCTCGTGTCTCTCTCTCTTTGATTCAGCTTTGGATCCTAACCGTGCAGCTTTCGGTGTTGTGAGCTTTGACTGGTTACATGGCCATGCCTTGACTGGGCTTCCTTATCTTTAGGACAGGGTAATAATAGAGTTCACACCATAAGTGGTTTGCATAAGAAGCGGAGAGCCTGGCACTGGCATGGTATCCCTTGTCAGGCTCCAAGGGGTGGAGCTTGTCTTGAGGACTGAGGCTATGTGGTTTGTCTTCCGTGATCCGGAGCCAAGCCTGCTGCTGAGGCAGCACTGAGTAGATGCTGGTGGCATGCTGGAAGACAGGGGGTGGGGGTTGTCACTCCAGGGATGAGTGGGCATTACCAAATAAAATGAGCCTAGAGCAGTGCTGTGCAGTAGGAGGGGCTTAAGTCCCATCGGGCTCTGAACTCAGAGACCACTTCCTTTGAACTGCCCAGTATCAGCTATACTAAGCATTTTTTTCTAGCGCCTCCCCCTGGCTCTCATCCCTGATCTTCTTAAGGGTGGACTGCTCCTATCAGGTCTGGAGGGGTCCTGCCAGGCAGAGAAGGATTGCAAGTGGAAGCCATCTCCTGCCTCAGCCCCTCTTCTGGGGGTTCTCTGCTTCTCTGTGGCCTATTGGTTCACAGGTCCTGTGTGGCCTGCTGTTGCCCCACCCCCACCCCCTGCCCACACTTCCCTCTGAACCCAGGAAAAGATGGCCAGCCCTAAGCAAGCCTGAGGTGCTGTCCGCCAGGACCTCATTCTCGGTGCACCCACAGGATGCTGGAGTGGAGGCCCCGGAATCAACAGAGGCAGCACAGAATTTAAACTCCGGCGGTCCTGCTTCCGAGTGTTATGCTACACAGCTGCCAGATACGGTTGAGCTCCTTCCCACAGCAGCCACCCAGGCCTGGACTCCCCACAGCGGAGAAGCTGGTCTGTGTTTACCTTCTTCCTCCTCAGCAGCCGGTGACCCACAGGCAACTCCCCAGGGCAGCTGGTATCATGTCTCAGGGAAGCTAAGGCGAACTCCCTGACATCCATGGTTTTTTGGTTTTGGGGGTTTTTGTTTTTTTCTTTTTCTTCCTGGCTGCAGGACCCTGGGCTTGCCAGGGCATCGCTACAATGAGGAGGCAGAGTCCACAGGAAGGGGGGCAGAACAGGAAGTGTGGCTATGTGATCATGCCTGAACAGGAAGCGAGCAACATTGCTCCTTTTTCCCCAAGCAACTGAAGAGTCTATTTAAAAAAAAAAAATCTGGGGTGGGGGAGAGGGAGGAAAAAAATCTGCTCTCCCCAGGCACACCCAAGTCATTTTTTTTTTTTGACATTTTTTTCAAATGGTTGTCTCTTACAGAGCCAGAAGTCAGGCTGGGTCAGTTGGCACAAGCCTAGAGAAACTTCCTAAGAATTTAAGCCAAAGGCTTAACCTTAGAAGCTGGGTGAGTTCCAATGCTGACTCTTCCACTAACTGTGTGTCCACAGGCAAGTCCTGATACTTCTCTGAGCTGCCACTCTGCCAGGACAAAATGGAACATCGATCTTTTTCTAAATGTCCTGTGCAGTCATTCTGCCGCTCAAAGCAGACAAGCGGTTCAAGCAGCCTGCAGGAATGTCTGTGGACCTCTCTGCAGGCCCCAGCCGGCTCAGGGAAAGCATAAAGAGACAATGACATCATGCACACCAGGACAGCATGAGAATTAATTCATTCTGTGGCCAGTTTGCCCCAGTGGCAGTCAGAGAAGTATCTTCAGTGACCCATGGTCAGGACAGGCAGTATATGTGCTCTGAGAGTCTGGAAAGGAACAGAAGCAGGTTTGGTCAATGCAGAATGCCTAGGAGATGAGGGGTGGGGTTCAAGTCCTCACACAGACTCTGAGAAGCTAGCAAGCTATGTGTAGCGGGAAGGACACATGGAGATCAGGAATGCAAGGAGAACTGTGCTGGGGACCTAATTGTCACCTACCCCTGAAGGCATCCAGCCCCACAGGCACATCAAGGAGACAATGATGCCCAGGGTAAGCAGCTGGTCTCTGAGCAAGAAAAACCAGCGTTGGTCCTCAGCCAGGCATTCATGGAGCCCAGGTAGTCACTCAGTATGACATTCCTCAGCCAGGGGACATCTCCTGCAGGCACAGATAGCTGATGCAGGTGTCTGTTGTGGAATATTAGTTGAAGATGTGATACATTTGTTTATGCTATGGGACATTTGTTTTAAGGATGCAAAGATGCATTGCATTCTTTTATGTTGCATTTGTTTACCTCTGTGAAGCTGGGTTACTTTGTCTACAACACCTGATTGGTCTGATAAACAGCTGAATGGCCAATAGCAAGGCGGGAGAGGAATAGGCAGGGCTGCTGAGCAGAGAGAATAAATACAAGGAGAAATTGAAGCTGGAGATTAGAGGGGGGAGGAGTGAGAAAAAGGAAGGAAAGGGGGACTCCAGGGACTAACCACCTGGCCACACAACCAGCCAGGGAGTAAAAAGGAAAGAAAGATATAAAAATAAAGATAAATAGTCCTGAGGTAAAAACGTAGAAAAGAAATGGGTTAATTTACGTTAGAAAACCTGGCTAGAAACCCGTGGTGGTGCTGGCACACTCCTTTAATCCTAGCACTTAGGAGGCAGAGGCAGGTGGATTGCTGTGTGTTCAAGGCCAGCCTGATCCACAAGAGCTAGTTCCAGGATAGGCTCCAAAGCAACAGAGAAACCCTCTCTCAAAAAAACAAAACCAAAACCAAAAACAAACAAAAAGCTGGTTAGAAACAAGCTAAGGCTGGGCATTCATAAGTAAGAATAAGTTTCTGTGTATAATTTGTGAGCTGGGTGACAGACCTCAAAGAGTTTTAAAAAAAACACACTACAGGTGACAGGCAAAAAGACTAGATAGCTGCGAAGGACAGAAGCAGAGAATCAGGGACTGCCACACCCTACACACTAAAGACTTAACAGTCATGGCCTCATTTCTTCCTTCACCGCCACTGAGCGCTCCTCAGTGTACTGTTTTCTCACTGCAACAACAGATCGTATCAGCCATTAAAATCTTCTGAAACAAGCTGGGTGGTGGTGGCACACACTTTTAATCCCAGCACTCGGAAGGCAGAGGCACCCAGGAGGCTGAGCCAGGCGGATTTCTGTGAGTTCGAGGCCAGCCTGGTCTACAAGAGCTAGTTCTAAAGCTACAGAGAAACCTTGTCTTAAACAAAAACAAAACAACAGCAACAACAAAAAACTTCTGAAACTTCATCAGGTGAACCCTACCCCACTTAAAGTCCCCACAGAGGCAGCCCAGTTCAAGGGCACCAGGATCTGTGTGGTTCACTTACGCATGCAAGTACAACCAGATATACTAGTTGTACAACAATGAGGAGCTTTCTACCCCACCCTCTTCTTGCTTATCATTGGGAACAGGATGCCTAGAGGTCAGATATTCCTCTTCTGATGGGCTATAGCAAATTGAACCTTAGAGGGTTGCCACGGTGACCTAGAGATGATCTCTACATTCCATATCTCTGTCTCTCTGTCTCTCTCTCACTTACACACACACATGAGAGTTGGCTGTTATTATGGTAACAACAGAAAAGAACCATAGGAGGGGGGGAAAAGACGGGGCTCAGATTCCTTGAACTCTTCACCTACTGTGTGGAAACACACGGATATTCCCTGAATTCCTAGTGTCTCCATTTCTATTCTTTGCCAAGAACAACAGTTTGACCAAGAGAAGTGAATGCGGGGGGGGGGGGGGGGCAGGGAGGACACACACCCATGTCCATGCAAAGGTCCCAGAGGGGTGGCTCTGGCTGGCTGTAAGCTCTTCCATGTGGTTCAGAGGGGGACAAGAAGGCTAAGCAAGGGGACCGTCCCAGCTGCTAAGTGTTAGGTTTTAGCCAATTGGACTTGGTGTTCCCACCATTTTACAGACACTATCAGGTACCCCATGGTGGGTTTGGGTGTGGGGAGAGGTCTGTGCTAGGCTCCCTGGGGCCTCCAGACATCAGGCTATGAGAAATCCCAGAGGGGAGACCACTCTGTCTCCTGCAGAAGCTCTCTTAGCAGATTCTGGGTTCTTTGTTACTACAAAGAAGCAAACAGCCTGTCTAAATTTGTAAGGCGATCTTCCTCAGTATCCTAACTCCTGGAATATAACAAGCCACTAGGAACTTAGAGACCTCAGACACCACTGGCAACTGAGGTACCTTTTCTCTCTAGTGACACCTGTAGCTGCTAGATTGCTCATTTCCCCACGGTAGAAGGGAAATGAGCATTTCCTAAATGCTCTAAAGCAGTCACCAGCGTCTTCTCCAGTGCCCTGATATTTCCTATCTTCCTTCCCTCTTCTTCTGAACCCTTAACACATCCTCTCTGATATTAAATAAATCCCGTTGCCTAAAGCTATCATCTTTTTCAGTGTCCTCAATCCTAATGGAGACCTTCTGCTGAGGAATTCCCAGAGGCAGAATTAGGTTGAGCACAGATGGATTTCAATGCATGCGTATTGAAATTGTGTGTGTGTGTGTGTGTGTGTGTGTGTGTGTGTGTGTGTTGTGTGTGTGTACACACAGGGTCGAGGCCAAAGTGCCTTCCTCTTATCCTGCACTTTATTTTTGGAGACAGGATCTCTCACCGAATATGGACCTCCCCAATACCTTTATGCTGGATGACTAGTGGATTCCAGGGACCCACCAGTATCCTGTCCACCCTGTCTCAGCACCACAGTTACAGATATGCACCCCACCACCACCACTTCTGGCTTTTACTTGGGTTCTATGCAGCAAGTGCTTGACCAACTGAGCCATCTCACCAGCTCCTTAATGCATCCTTAAATTTAAGAACAATGACCAAGCCGTTGTCATCATCAAGGTCCCCTCTTCAACTTTTGGAATGGGGACCCTCACAGCAAGTCCAGAGAACCACCCGTATAACAGGACTTTGGTGACCGTGTCGCTGCAGAGCCCATCCCAGACCTATAAACAGTCCACAGCGTCATTCACAGCTGTCCTCTTGGCGCTTTCTGCTGTTGCCTCCCCAGCCCCCTCCCCTGCAGGGGCAGCAAGAATGAGCAGGAAGGACTGCCCTGTCCTGGCTGCTGAAATGGCCAGGTTAAGAGGAAAACAAGATAACAGGACTGACCACCTTCCTCTTCTGCTGGCTTTCTTTGTGTTCTGCCGGGTCCCTCTCGTTGAACATCATGGTTGGTTTTTTGGGCCTTGGGCTTCCTCTTATTCCTAAGAGCAAAACAAAGGATGACATTTAAAGAACCATCAAAGATATATAAGACAGGGGGATCCAGCAACACACTCATTACTCCAGCTACTCAGAAGCTAAGGCAGGAGGTCACAAGTCCAAGGTTGCACAGTGAGTCAAGGTCGGTCGAGCAATTTAGTGAGAACTTATCTCAAAATAAAAAGTTTTTTAAAGGGTTGGAGATGTAGATCAGTGGTAGAACACTTGCTTAGCATGGATGAGGTCCTGGGTTCACCCCACAGTACCCTACAAAAAAGAGGAAGTCACAGGATGCTCTCAGGCAAATGGGATGAGACATTTCTCTGTCCTCATTTGACCCCGAATCCCCAGAAGACCCAGTCACCTCCTGGCACAACTCTATTTAGGAAACATGAGACAGGGCTGTGTTTCCCATACCAGCCTCATAGCTTAGGGAATGCAGACTGTTCCCTCACAGGAGCCCCACTTGGAAGGTCATGCTCACAAAGGCACACGCTCTAAACATAGACTGTCTGTCTCCAGAGGGGAAGCTGAAGCCAGTGGAAGTTGAGACAAAGTATCGGTCTCGCCTGTCAAGTTGGGAACAGTCACCAAAACCATAACCTAAATCATAGAGTGACAGAAGTGGGAAATGTTGCTAGTCTTCTAGAGTTTTTAAAAATGTTTTAGCGCTTCAGGAGGATGTATATGCATTAGCTTAACTTGTCACAGAGTTTGTAAAATTTATCCTATGATAAGAAAAAAAATGAGCACAAAGGTTTTAGTCCAAGATATTTATTGCGACATTTTCTATGCTAGAAAATGGTAGTTGCCATAGTAACTGTGTGGTGTGTTGCAGCAAGGTGCC